TTTTTGTGTATAAATGTTTAAACAGTTTCTGTGTATAAATATTTATTATCACTATGCGTATAAATGTTTATTTCTAAAGAATATATTTTTCAATTATGTGTATAAATGTTATTTACATTGATTTGATTAAAATAACTTATTAAATAATAATACGCATAAATTATGCATATCGTACGTATTGTGTATGCATACTGTATGCATATAATACGCATTTCGTAAACAGATAATAGGCATAGAATACGCATAATATGATGTTTGAAAGATTTTGTGATTGACATTTGCGTTTAAAGATTAGTGTTTGAATTTCTTATTTGTTTTAACGAAAAAAATAATTTTATAAATAGTTTTGAAGCGTTTTTAAATAATACGCATAATACACGCACAAAAGAGGCACATAGTACGCATCATACACACATAAGACGCATAGAGTACTCATAAAACACGCACACATTCTATTAAATGTTTTAGGTTACTTACATTTAGTATGGACTGAGGGGCCGTGACATGAATAATAATTTTCGTTAGTTGTGGATTGATAGGTGGCAAATATGGTTGGGAGGGTTGATTGAATTTTTATGAGTCATTATTTACAATTTATTACTTACTATTGTTCAACATTAAAATTTTCACTATATAATGCGGGAACGCTAGCCTTATGGTAACGCATGATTTTTCAAACATAAGTAATGCAGGCTTGACAGAAGGTTTGATTTTTTACTTCGGAGCTTAGTTTAAGGTTGCTGTTAGATTTTTATTCTTTTGAGGTAATCCTTAGCCTCAAATGAATCCTAAGCTTCAAATGAATCGCAATCTACTAGCAGCCTTAAACTTTGCTCTTAACTCTTAAGTAAAAAAATCTTACCTTCTGTTAAGCCTGCATTACTTCTGATTGACAATCATGTGTAAACAGTAGGCAAGATTTGGCAACTCTCTTAATTTCCCAAATCCCCTCCCCTATCCTAGGCATGGTCGGCCCCTCCTCTCCTCCTTTCCCTCTTTGTTTGGAGAATTCAAATTCAAACTTTCCCCTCCTCTCCAAACATTAAAATATGAAATTAAATTTCATATTTTGAATTGCCTCCCTTTATCAACACACAAACTCCAGAGCTATTTCTCCTCTTCTTTCGCTATGGCCAGCCCCCACTACCTCCCCCTCTCTACTTGGAATTAGTCCTTTTAACTCCCTTCCGTCGAACATAGATTCCAAAGGATTTCTACCTCGCAAAAACTGCTATCCAGATCTCTTTGACATATAAAAATTGCTGTTCATAAATTTTAGCAAAGGTCGTTTGTTGTCCCACTGTCCATAAGTCCTTTTCTTGTTGTCCATAAGATATCATTTATATATCTATAAAGGGATAATTTTGTGCAATAAAAAGAAGCATTCTCCCTCTCCAATTCTCTGAATTTAACATGGTATCAAAGTAAGATATTTGGATCTTCTCAAATAGTGAGAGCGTGAGAGAGGGAGAGTTGGTTCTTGCGTTCTATTCCTGCTCATTTGCGTCCAGGGCATTTGAGCATGTGAGAGGGCTTCTCCTTTTCGGTCTTCTACATGCAGCTATCATGTGTGCCTACCTGGGGGTCGAAGCGAGTAAGATGAGGATCAAGTGAGGGACCGAGTAGGAACTGCGTGTGTGCGTGTCTGAGCGGGGACGACCGGCCCTCGTGCGTGTGCTGGAGCTAGGGGTGTAAGTTAGCCGAGCCGGCTTGAGCTCGACTCGTTTATGGGCTCGCGAGCCTAGCTTATCGAGCTCACGAGTCGAACTCGAGCTCGAGCTCAATGAGGCTCGGCTCGTGAGCTCACGAGCCGGCTCGAATTAATGTTTGATTTTTTAGACTTATTAATTTGTTTATTAAATTAACCTAAAAAGTCCAAAGCAGCATCATTAATGTTTAAGGCAAGCTCAAATAAAGAAGTTTAAACACTAAAAAATAGTCACATTTTTCAAAGCGACAACATTTATGCGGCTGCTAGATTTTCAAAAACTAGTGAAATTAATGTTGTAGCTTTATCATTACTAAAGCAGTAAAATATATATATATATATATATAAATATAAATAGTGGAAGTGGCAGTAATACTCCTAATTTCTGATGTTTAGCACTCGAGCTCGACTCGACACGTTTGCACCCCTAGATGGAGCCAAACTGCGCAAGAAACGAGAGGGTTGAAGAGTTGTTGTGCACGCCATCAAATCCTCCACTCGAAGAGCCCCTCCTTGCCCCAAATCCTGATCACTTTTGCATGTTCTTGATCCGTTACCCTCATATATGGGAGATGTATAACAAGGCCCTAGACAACAGAAGAAGTCGACATCTCCCAATGATCTCTGTCATTGGGATCAATCCCTCAAATTGGGCAAGCATCACTTCGTAATCCACGTTCTCGCCTTCTTCGTTATCGCTGACAGAATCGTCATTGAGAACCTTGTCAATCGCATTTGGACTGAAGTCGGATCGTTGGATTCGAAGCTTGCCGATGGAACGGTCCTGATACGTGGAGTTGCCCAGACGATGCCTGCACTGGGGAAGAATATGTCTTTCTTCGTGGCAAGATAGTTCACTGATACGGTCCAGTGCGTGCTTACAGTGACAGAAGAGTTGGTGAGCACGCAGATTGTGAAGTACGCTACTTCCCTAAGTAGGGAGTCGATCATGGATATCGAGGGCGAGGATACAGAGAGATTAGAAGCACTTTATCCTACCCTAAAGGAGATGGCTTTTGCTGGTTCTCCAGGTTCCCACCACCTGCCTTCATTGTCAAAATTCAGAGGAATACATGTTCCTACCACCAGCTTTTATTAATAGAATACTGAGGAATACCGGTTCCCACCACCAGCCTTCAAGGAATACTGGTCTTTCCACCGGCCTTTATTGCCAAAATTCTAAGAAATATTGGTCCTTCTGCTTCCTTCATGCGTCCAAAACTGAGGAGAGATTAAGCGGGAGGGCTCCTCTCTCATGTAATGTCCAGAGTCCACTGAATAGAAGCAAGAGAAGCCTGAGGGCAAGACATTCTCTTGTGTGCGTATGGAAAGAGTTGAGAGTTCATGGACAAGCAAGAGTACAAGATCTACAGTCCTTCCTACGATTAGACCAAAAGTATCATAGGCCTTGCGTGCGTCTGTATGGCGATCGAACAGGAATGTACGGGTGAAGTTGGACGACTGATTTGTATTGGGCCGAAGGCTGACTCGATTAGACGGGAGGAGATTTGCTTTCCAAGTGCTAAGTCGCTTGAGATGTGTTTTTCTGTTGTTGTCCTTGAATTTGCCGCAATCTTAAAAATAAAATTTTTCTCATTGTTGTGTCTTCATTGTAAGCCTTCTCTTGTGGTTGCTATCATATTTATAACCAATGCAGTCTTCATTGTTGCCTTATTTAATATAGCCTTCATTGCTCCCTTTGCCACCGCAATATCTAAATCTAATTTATCCCAAAGTTTTGACTAAATGGAGGACTCTGTGGTGTACCACGGGACTTGATAACTCTATTTTTCTTGGACTAGTTACCACTCTGAGAATGACAGATTTGTACTCCCAGCTTGAGGGGGAGTGTTAAATCTTAGCCGTCCCTTGACACTTGCTCCCATGGCCAAGATGGAAATCCGTGGAAGGCTCACCTGGATCACGTCGATCTTCTTCTATATTTGGGTAACTGATTTAGGAAGGATTATATTAAGATAATTATACATGATTTTGTTATTATTTATTTCTTTATTAAGATATCTTGTATAGCTATAAATAGAGATAATTTTGTGCAATAAAAAAAAAGCCTTCTCCCTCTCCAATTCTCTGAATTTAACAAAGAATATGGTTTCACATCAATGACTAAATATGTCTATATTCCTGGATCAACTTAATCAAAGATATATAATCATTATTTTTATACACGTTATCATGGAAATGCTAAGTGATGTAGTCCTTATCAATGATATAATTTAGCAAAATAAGCTTGATAATGAAGCAGCTGTAATTTATAATTATATTCAATTTTCTGTTATCTTATTCAATCAATCACAAAATGATAATAAATTAGCTAGGTATATCTTTTGGTGTTAATGTAGGTTTGGCATCTTATAGATACAGTGGACTTTAATGTTAAAATCTTTATGGTATTCACTTAATCATATTTGGGTAATTAGATAGCAATTTAAAATAAAGTAAAATTGAAAATTTCTTGAAATCATAAAATGAAATCAAACCAACTTACCTTCTTTATAATTATGTTGATCGATTAGGCAATGAAACATATGTGGAAGTGTTTTTTGGGGTTTCAAAATTCGTAAATCTACTTTTTAGATGTGTGTAATATGAGATGAGTGCATTAGAACACTAAGCCATCTTAATGCAAATACAATAATTTTAAAATCCCACCGTAATTTCTCCTGTATTTTTGCTGGTTTCATTTTATTAAACATGAAGCAAATATTCATTTAGGACTTTGTTTGTGACTATTTTCTTCTTGCTTTCTAAATCAGCATTTTAGTATAATTTTTTTTTGAAACTAGCCAAAAATTAGTTGTCAAAAGCTGTCCCAAATGAAGCTTAAATTAACCAAGAAACCAAAATCCTATTTCATACATCAATCCCGCCCTACTCTTTGTAATAGAGTGAAGCCTTATGCGTTGGTTTCATTTTATCATGAAATTGTTATTCTCTTGAGAAATTTGAAGGCTCTGTTTGGTTTGAAGGAATTTAAAAGAGATGACAGAAAGTGATAAATGAAATGAAATTAGAAATTACTGTTTACTACTTATTTGGTTGAGAAAGGATTGTGTGAAAAAAAATAGTCTCCTTTTTGTTTTGTTTGAAAGAATAACAAAGTAAATTAAAGAATGAACATAGTCGACTTGTATTCACACTTCAGTTTTATTTGTGCTCTGATTTCCTTACTAAATTTAACTTACTCTGAATCCTAAACCAAATTGTTTATATGTAATTATGAATCGAACGCAACTGAATGATCCTTGTTGAAGCTGCCATCTCTATGTGATAGGAGCAGGCTATGAAAGAGGCAGAGGCGTGCGAGGCTACGGTGGCAGAGGCTATGGCCGTGCCCGGGGAAGGACAGGCGGCCGTGGAAGAGGGTACATGGCCGAGTAAGCGGAGGAATTACCGGTATGCCCTCGCACTCTCAAATGCATGCTTGATATTTATTAAAAGAAGAATCCAAGGATTTAGTGTTCATAAGATTGCCTTGGTATGTGTAAGTGCCTATATTTATAGCTTTCATTGTGAATCCTTGGTGAGCTTGTTCTTAGTTTTCATGTTTCCAGTTACTGCTCAAATTTACCTGTAAGGCTTGCAGTGTTCATTCTTACTAGTTTGAATCATCCATCAATTATTGTATCTATGTATCCAATTTTGTTCAGTGTTGTATATTTCTGCATCTTCAATTTTGGGTGACTTAAAAGCTTATGATTTCTCATGTGAAGCAGCCTTAAGAGTCTGTTTGGGATTTTTTTTTCCTTCATATTTTTAATATTCTGTAGTGAAAAAGTAATTGGAACTGATTTACCCACATACCCACCCATACCCAATGGGCATGGGTGGGAATGGGTACACTCATAGCCTCATGGGTGCTCAACATCAGGGGACAAAACGATTTATATTACTAATTACCATATGCATGCAGTAGATTACATTAAGCTTTACTACGCAGTCCGTAGCACTAAACTTCGCCGCGACCACGATAAATTTTGATATGTAGCTTGAAAGTTTGCAGTTAGAGAAAAAGACAACAAACCTCAAGGCCATTAATATGTGGCAGACTGCATTCAAGAAGCGTGGAAAGTGGGTAAGTGTGGGTGGGCAAAGCCCGCCAGTGCAAAGCGTGGGTACTCAGTGGGCACCCAACCAGTACCCCACATAGGGCTCAAGTTGAATGAGATTGAAATTGAAATTTATTTTTAAAACTTAAAAAGCATAAACACTTCTTTATGTATGATTGAAATTTTCATTTTAAATAGGGGTTTAAAGTTTAATATAATGTTATGGCTAAAAATTGGTTGAAGATATTGTGATCAAATTTTTAGTCAAAATGGACTTTGGAGCTTTTAAATTTATTTTAACATGAATATTATATAAATTAATTATTTATCGTATTCATCATAAAATAAATTTAAGAGCTTCAAAGCTCTTCATGATAATGTTTTTAATAGAATATTTTGATATAAATTTTTTTCTATTGTTTTTCAATCATAAAAAGAGTTTCTTATGATGTGTTATATCGTCTATGCTGATTTTGCATAAAAAGAGCGTTGATGTTGTATTATTTCATGGATAAAATATACATTTTCATTTAAGATTTAGGCTTCGTTTGAGACTGGCTTTCTTACTACCTTTTAAAGCAACTTTTCAATACATAAAAGTTGAAAAGCCGCTTCAAAGAAGCAGTAAGAAAAGGATAGCTTTCTTATTGCTTTTTAGTACAAAAATTTTTAGATCAAAATTTTTTTTATTTAAAAACTATTTTAAAAATTATTAATAAAGTTTCAAACAAAGTCTTATATGATTTAGATCATTGTTTCATAGTTTTATGATATTTCAAACTTCTAAAAAAAAGTAGTGGGGGGATGTACATATATATATATATATATATTACATCTAAATTTTTTTAATTATTTATGTATTATTATATTATTTAAATTATATCAAAAGATTTGTTGGAAAATTTTATTTCACTTTAGTTAAATTAATGTTAGGGATAATTTTGATGCTATTTAGATATCAGGGTGTTATATATATATATATAAAAGTAAATATAAATATTTTTAAAAATTTGCTTGTATTATTATATTAATATAAAAAAAGTATTTTTGAAGTAGATGTTACATTATATTTGTTCATATAAAAAAGAAAAAAATTAGTAGTCTGTTATTTTCCTTGGTTAAATTAATAAGCTTCTTTTTGGTGCTGAAGATTTGTTAAGAATGAATTATATGTGATTTAAAGGTTTTTTTTTTTTTTTATGAATTGATTTATTTTTTATACTGTTTTTATTATATTTATAAGAGAGTTGTTTTAAATTCACTTGAATATTAGTGTATTTATACTTTATTTGAATTTTTAAAAAAAATTATTTGGATTATAATTAATTTTGTATTTTATTAAAAATTTAACATATAATCTCGTCCTACAATTATTATATAAGGCTCTCATAAATTGCAACAAAACAGCTTTTGATTGACAAAGGTATATAATATTATGATTGACGAAGTTATAAGCACCAACAATTCTAATGCAAAATGCATCATTTATTATTTATTTTGGTGACATTTTAGAAGTACAAGATAAAATGAGATGCAGTGTAAAATAAATGAAATGTATTTTAAATTGTTTGGAGCTATTTGAAGAGTGTAAAATAAATGTATGTGATTATATTTTTATTTGATTTATTAAAGTTAAATGAATGAAGTATAAAACTCAAAGCTGCAGGCGATCAATGGCTTAGGAATTTAGCAATAGTAGATGCGGAGGTGGTTGATGGTGGAAGGGGTTGGTGGCTAGGGGCAAGTTGGGGGAGTGTTCGCGTCAATGGTAACAGATAATTTACAGTATAATTGAAAATCACTCAAATATAATGTTTTTCATATACATCAATATTGAACTTAAGGGCGAAGGTATATATCAAATACTTTTAAATTTTTGTTATGCATTACTTTACTTTAGATCAAACATCAATATTTTTAAAATTATGACGTGAGAGAAAAATTCATATTACAATTTAAATAGATATCAAAATTGAATTCACAAAAATAAGTCCACATGAAATATACAATTTTCATCATCATATCAATTAAACTTAATTCAAGTAAACATTTCTAAACCCTTTCAATTCAAATATATTTAAAAAAACAAAATAAAACAATGAAGCAAATTGCTTGCAAGAAAGATTGTAAACTTTCATTGATTTGGGACTAAAAGGAATATAATATAAAAGAAATAAAGTGTTAAAATAATAGTTTTGAATTGTTTGGATAAATATAAAGCAAATGTAAGTGAATGATTTTTTTTATTTGGTGGTGGTGGCTGGTGGCAGGCGGTATTAAATGAGGATGCTCAGGTGGATGAGTGGATTTACCCTTAGAGATAGGATACGAAATGAGCACATACGTTAAAAGGTTGTAGTAGCTCCAGTAGAAGATAAGATTAGAGAGAGTCGCCTTAGATGGTATGGTCACATAAAACAACTACCTTTCGATGACCCAATTAGGAAAGTAGAGGTATTAGATTTGACTTAGTTAAGAAAGGTAGAGGTAGACCTAAAAGACTTAGTTATAAAATATTAGGAATGACCTTTCTTTATTAGATTTAAATAATAATTTGACTTTTAATATGACACAATGGAGAAAAAGGATTTATGTAGCCAACCCCACGTAGTGGGATAAATGTTTGATGTTGTTGTTGTTGTTGGTGGTGGTGGCTAGTGACAGTGTTGGCGGGTGGTAGGTGGTGGCTGATGACAGGGCGACCAACAGTGATGCTGGTCAGCAGTGGGGTCGACAGGCGGTGATGGCAGGGCGGTGGTGGCCGGTGGTGAGCTGTGCTTAAATGTGCTTTGTTTTAGTGTAAACGGTTCTCGCTCAAAATTGAGCGAGTTTGATTTACCTTAAAAAATGAATTAAAATAATTTACACTACATTTACTTTATTTTGCTCCACTTTGTATTCCAACTCTATGCCAAAAATTTCAAAACCCTTGCATTTGACCGATCACCACTGTCTATAGTGCCACCATCGCCATCGGTCGCCATTGATCATCACCGCCACTGGCTTGATTTGAAGCAAATGAATGTAATGTAAAGTTTAAAGATAGTGGTGACCGGTGGATGGCGGTGGCTGGCGGCGGGTGGTGCGACGGGTAGAGGAGGTGGGGGCCGGCGGCGGCCCATGATAGCGGCAGGCAACAGTGGCTTAGGGGGGATGCAAGCAACAGTGGCTTGGGGGGGATGGTAGTGGTGTTGGTGATCAGAGGTAGGTGGCGGCAGTGGCCGACGACGGGTGGCAATGGCTGGCGAAAGTGGTCGAAGGCGGCCGACGGTGGTGGCCACTGGCGGTTGGCAGCAATCAAGCAAACTTACTTGGGGTGTAAACCATTCTCACTCAAAATTGGATGAGTTTGATTTAACCATTTTCATTTTGATTAGCTATAAATAAGTACCATATTAAATCATTAAAATCGTATCAAATTAAAAAATGTTGAAATATATAATTAAAATAACTTTCAAGTTTATAATTCAAAATGAAAAAAAAAAATCTAAATTTAAGAAAAAAAATTCAACTTACCCAACCTAATGGCAAATAATATAATTGGCTATGGTTTCATGATCGTATGAGAAAGAAGAGCAACAGTAAACCCTTTTTCTCCCTCCCCTCATCTCCCCTACCCTCCTCTCTGCGATTACCCGACAGTCAATCGAAGAAAGCGGCATCGGGCGTCCGCGTCATTCTCAGACGATGGCTATATTACTGGGCGATGACGGTAAGGGCTACGATCTTGCTCGGAGGCTGGAGAGCTGCGGCGCATGGCGTGCTTGGCTGGGCGACGCAGCCTATGCTGCTTTTTCTCACTCTCTCTCTTCTGCTGCGGCCTGGGATGCCTTCTTGACTCCTTCTCCTTCTGGAACACGTGCTCAGCTTCAGCTACAACTCCGTGCACGCGCTCTCCTGTTTGATAAAGCCTCTGCCTCGCTCTACCTCAGGCCGTCCACGGCCGTCGCGGGGACGCAGATCTCCAATCTCAATCCTTCCTGTAAGCAAAACCTAAGTTTTTTTCCTTTCGTTTCATCCTTTTTTATCTCTTTTTTATTTCACTGGGCTGAATCTAACAATTGAGATTGGTGTATAAAATTCTTTGACAAGGTTGGCATAGTGCTATTCTTTAAAACATCTGTACTACCAAGAGATCAATTCCCCTTTTGCAAATTCTAGGGTTTCCTTTTTTTCTCTTCATTATTTCACTTTGAACTAGCTACATATACAAACATAGTAATAATAAGAAGCAAACTGCACTGTGAAGAGCACCAATATTTATTTGATTTAGTCAATAATGATTTAAATCCATGCGGTAAGAATGCCAAAAAAAATCCACTATCAAATGATGAAGCAATACAAACTAAGAGGTCTAACAAATGATTCCAAATTCTATTCACAAAGCTAACAAGGAAATGAGAGAAGTCTTTATCCAAAATTTGAGGAACTTTCTCAAAAGAAATCTAATGGGAAGAGACCAAGAATTCCAATAATGATTTGAGGTTGGAGGTATGGAAACCTTGAGGTGGATTGGAATTGAATGGAGAGTATGAGCATAATGGCATTTGCGAGAGCTAAAATTTGTTAAAATGTAAACATCCCAATTTATCCTTGCTATATTATCATCTTTCCCTTTTGATTCAGTAATGCAAGCAAATGGGTTTGTTAGCGGGATAAAATCCCAATCCATGCACTCAGGCATCTTCCTTATTTTTTTATAGAGATGCTTTCTTTTTATTGCCAGAATATATTTTTTTCTTTTAACTATAATGAGTTGCCTTGTTATTTTCAGATTTTCAGGTTCATGAAGATGAGATTTATTACTCTTTGGAAGATGAACAACATGATGGATTTCAACCCCAAGTATGCTCCACTCTACCTTCTTAAATAAATAAATAAATAAAACCTAGATCTCTTTAGATAAATTTCTAGTTTTGATGGTTGATATATACTTAAGGCTTCTTCTGCCTTTATTCTTTAAGCTTTAAAGATGGCTGTGTTAAGAATTAATTTTTTACACATTCCGTTGTACTTGTATGCATTCTTTTCAATATCTACCAGGCATAATTTCAATTTAAGAATTTATTTGTTGGCCCAATCTTGCTTGATTCTTGATAACTTGATCTTTTGTAAAATTTGCTCTAGTAACTCATGTGCTTGTTTCTTCTGCACTGCATATTTTTTACCATAATAAAATTTCCTACTTAGAACCTTAAACAGTAAAACTCATTCATTCCTTTTTTAATCTGTTAACACTTTCCAATCCCCTCCAGTGATTTGGAAACAATTTAGCAATTGCTTCCAAATTATCTTTTTCCCTTTCTTTGTTGAATTAGTATGTTATCATGTTGGACTTTTTTCCATAACTACCTATACTTTCTTTTTCTTTGAGTCCCAAGAACATTCATGGATAATCCTTTCCCCTGTTGTCATAAATGAAAATTTCTTGAACTTGTCCGTTTCACCCATGTCTCACCTGTGGGAACTCATGTTTCACAGGTCTAGCCTTCCGGATTTTCAGCCCAATGCGTTGAATTGAAGGAATCAAGTGACAAATACATGAGTCATTTTTTATGCATAACATATATTATTATAAAGGGCACATTTAACTGTGATTACATTTTTGTTTTTTACTAAATGCTTGTCTCATGTCCCTTTAAAACATGCATTTTTAATTTATTCTCATGTGTCTTGTGCTATATGTAAAGTGTATTGTGTCTGGGTTATTGGAATCTCTAAAAAAATTATAAACTAATTTTCTAAGTGCATAAAAGCTTTTGTATTTTGCTTATAACTATGTACCCAATGCACTTGAAGTCCTAGGTCATGACCATGACTATGCTCATATTGAATTTGTGCTTCCAATTGAGCTTAATTTTTTTATGCTTATTAAAGCATAGCTCGAACTTAGGCCTCTTTAGGTAATACTTGTCAACTGCTTTAATTTTCAATAAACTTCTCATCATATTGATTTGCATCTCTATATTGCACGTGTCACCTCCATAGTTTCATGACCAAGAGAATCACATCAGAGTTTTTTTGTCCATTTCTGTCAGAGCAAGGACTGTATTTTTTTGTCCTTATCTGCTTGCGACCATGTACCAAATTTTACTCTAAAGGGCGTTATTACCAATACAACATGATTAAATGAAGCTATTATTTCAAAGTCGGTTTAATACAGTTATCAAGCTTTAAGCTTGTACAAGTCATTAGAATCTGATTTGATTTAGTTCAGTTTATATGAATATGATTCAAGCTAGCTTTATTTAAGAAATGAATGTAATTATGTATGTATTTGTATTTATGATTGCATGGTTGTATTTCAGTACATATATAAATGTACTCACTATAAAGGCAGGCATAATTTTCCATCACTAATGTTTTTTAATTTATGTAAACATTAAATTCTTCATAATTTCCCTAAAATTAATTAAACAATTTTTAATAATTTATTTTATTAGAAAGACCATTGATAGTGTAAGTGTAGCTTTTAGAATTGAATGTAAATAGCACTAATGCTCTTGACAAATATTTTTTCTTTATGACCCTATTAGGAGAGTAGATGTATTGGATTTGAGTATTTGACCTATTGTAAGAAAGGTAGAGGTAGACCTAAAAAGACTTGGCTAGAAAATATTAGAAATGAACTTTTTTTATTAAATTATAATGAAAAATGGACTCTTAACAGAACACAATGGAGAAAAAAGATGGATGTAGCATATCCCACATAGTGGGATAAAAGGCTTGATGTTGTTGTTGTTGATTAGAATGTTCATAAGTTAGTTGATACATCGGTGGTGATATTAATCCAAATTTCTCAAAAGTGTTGGGTGCCCTCTAAGTGAATTCCCAAAGCGTCAGGCGCCACCTTTGGCATTCACATGAGTAAAGTGAGACTAAAATATGAACATCTATGTTAGGTTAAAATTTAATTTTGATTATGAATACTACATTTGAAGTGTATAAAATAATAGTTATCATTTAACAAAATATAATTTTTGAAGTTTCATTGCATTCTAATTAAATTTTTTTTGTAAATAGGTTTTCTCAAACCGGAAGGTTTATACCTTTTTTTAGCTTGTATATCCTAGGAATAATTCAATCAATTATCCATTCTATCTTTATTTGCATTCATTATAGCATCTTTATCACTATTTTTTAATCCTTCTCTCTTTCTATCTACTTGGGTTCATACTTTTCATCCTTAAGATTTTCTACTTCAGAAATTGAAGTAGTTGTTTCACCGACATTTGTTCTTTTTTTTAAATGCATATCATGTTTATCTTATTCTTGATGCTCATTTTATATCACCCAACGAAATTGCCATAATCAAAACCAACTCATATGTACTGTCTGAACTATTAGTGCCAATCTCACCAATCATGTGAAAGCGCTTGACTATCTATTTGATGGCTTAATGGAAAGGCACTTATTGCAACATGTTTAGTAGTGGCTACTGCAAAGTTGTGTGAGCCATTGTGGCCTGGTCGGCACTTAGGGTTGTACCTGTCTCACCTTTAACATTGTGTTAGCCTAACATTTATATTTACTTATACCTGAAAGATAATAGTTTAAAATTAGTCCTATATGTCTTGGTAATATTAACATATGTGTGACGATATATGACTTATATACATTCAATATATGCACAATATTTTCTTTTATTTTATTCTCTTGTTGTTTTTCTTTTTAATGGCAAATAGAACAATGTGCTTACTTATGTTTTATTTATAAATCATATTGTCTGTTTTTGATGATATGTTGGTTAAAGTTTCTATAAAAAGTTTATCTTAAGGCAGGATCAATAATTTATAAATTTAGAGTTAGTTTCACTTCTCTTTTTTCTGTTTGTTGTGTGTCCAGAAAAAAAAAATAATGAAGCAATAAGCACCACTACTTCTCTTTTTAGGAGATTCTGAACTCATTTTGAAAATGCTTGAATCTAAGGTAGTATATATCCCACTCCTGACCATCTTGGCCTTTTTGCTTGAAATACCCAAAATGTAAATTATCGTAATAAGCAAATCCTTGATAACCTTGGAACTCTATTTTTCAAAATCATATCTATATTCAGTTCAGCATCCTGAATTTCTTTGGGTGAGAGTTGATATTCTGGTGCAAACTCAACATCAGCTATTGCTTCATACTTGTTTGTTGACAGCTTGTTATGTTTCTTGCTTTTGTTGTATGTTTCTTTTATACACATGTAGAAACTTTGAGCTTTACTTGAGATAAGTTCGAGTTTCTTTGGAGTTACGTTAAGCTCATTAGAGTTGAGCTTGAAATTTAATCAAATTTTAACTTTAGTTGGGCTTAGCCTAGTGTTCAGCTCGTTGACAACCTTACCTAGAGTTTTCCTTCTACTCATTTATCTCTCTCTCTCTCTCTCTATATATATATATATATGCATATGTATATTAGTATTATTATATTTTAACTAGTGCTATATTTATCATTTATATTATTCTAAATTTTTTTTTTTCTTATTTTTCATTCCCAAGCGTTTTCTTTTTCCTTTTTTTTAACTAACTTTTCGTACATTATTAATGGCCAGTGGCCATTGGATCTTGCTAATTCTCTCCTAAATGAGCCAAACTGTATGGTGGATAAACAAAACAGTCACTTGCATGCGAACTTTCTATCATCTTCGGTTTTCTTACCAAATGCTTTTATTTACTAATCAAAATTTCTCCTTGGTCTTGTTGTTTTTCATGTTTGTTCTATGATTTTTAGATCCATTATATTAGTCTTGATGCTAATCTGCTTATATTTCTGCTATAAAGGATGCATAAGAGGTTGCTTTTCGCTTTGTTGTTGCTGTATTTTTTCTTTACATTTGTTGAGTAAAGTTATAGACTTTTATTGCATTCAATGCCCTATGTGACTTGATCAAAATATAGATGTTTTGAGAAAAGTGTAAGTCGACTGGTTTGACTTTTACCGCAATCTAACAAACATTATTCTCCTAAAGTGATTGCTTACATATAGTTAATCTTGTTTGGTGACAGACTCCTTCGAGGCCAGTGTACAGCCCTCACAGAGCAAGTCAACATTCTTTTGAACGAGCATCTAGTGTTGGATCCAGATACAATGATCCTGAACATGTAAATACCTCTAAATATGAAGATTTGCCTAATAAATGCTATAACCAATATGTTGAAAGATACAGAATAAAGCATCAGAAGTTGCCACATGGTGACAAAGAGTCACACAATAGAACATCTGAGGGAATGTCTGTATACTTCAAACTTCGTGATTTACATAAGAGAAAGAGGCAAATTTTTAAGGACAATCCTTTAGCTACTTTGGACACTGGATCTTCCTTGCATTTGAAAGGTATTTCAGAGGGGAATAACGCAAGTGAAGACGATATTTCATTCTTTCCTGAGATCATGTTTCCAGCTAATTGTGTGCCTGAAAGTGCTCTCCCAGTGGTAATCACAGAAAAGAAAGAAAAGGTTGAAGTTTACGGGGTACTTGATAATTTACCCACACTTACAAGCCCAAGTCCAGCGATGATGGAAAGATTTGGCATAAGGCCAGAGTATGTTAAGATGGGAAACAAATATAGGGGAAAGGATGGATCTGGAGGGGATAGAAGATCTCTTAGTCAGGAACAAGCATCCCAAATAGCTCACAAGGCAGCAGCTCGTTTGCTAATAAGCGTAGGGTTTGAAGGTGGAACTGAAATTTCAATGAAAGTCTTCTCTGAATTTTTTAGTAGCCATATCAGTAAATTAGGACGCAACTTAAAGCTTCTAACTGATAGCTACAAAAAGCAAGTTTCATCAATAGAACTTCTCAAAATGTTTCTGCAAATCTCAGGTCATGGGTGAGTTACTTGAAATTAAAAGTGTTTTGTCCGTGAGATTTTATTTTTAAATTTATTTCTTGAAAATTGGATGCATTTAAACACTTATCATTCTATGATTTTTAAATCTCAGTTCAACACTTTGCATGCATTTAAACCAGCATTTTCTACATTGTCATTTCATGTGAATTACCTTGGGCTTATATTAATGTGACATAAGTACACATAGTTTGTCTCCTCCAGTAAAATATTTTTCAAACATGAGATTGAATTGTGTAAAGTTTTGACTGCTTAAACATGCCAAAAAATAATTAAATCTTGCTTTCCAAATCCATTTGTTTAGTCCTCGTTAGTTCAGGATCCATATTATACTGTGCTATTGTTTAATCACGCTTCACACAAGAAAGACTTGCATATACTGTAGGCCTTCCTTCATAGTGGACATGCATATTCAATAGATCCATCTGAGATTTTTTTGGCGCTGAAATAGTTGTGAAGGGAGATATTGTATTAGGTGCTTTCATTGAGGTATTTGTTAGAAATCTCATTTTCTTAGTTAGCATAGAAAATAAAACTAGAAATCAAACAAACAGAGAATTTGCTAAGTGAAAATATTTCCACTTAAATGTCTTCTTGTCTGAATAAAGCCAAATGTCCAGGTCGCTTCTGTGATACATGTGTTGATGATTCTGAACTATGATGCTATCTCTATCCAGACAAGCCTTAATAGCATGATTAGTAAAAGTGATGCAAACATTCTAGCCTCTATTTTTCTTGTTTTTCCAATGCATTCATCTGGAACTTAGCTGTAAATTCGAGAGCTTAGGAACTTCCCTAGCTTTGTAGGTTTTTATTTTTTTATTTTTTTTTTAATTTTTATTTTTGGTTTTGGTTTTACCTAGCTTTGTGGGTTAACCATTCTCTGCTCATGCTTTGAACCTATGTGCAGATTCCTATTTGCTTGTTATCTCACTGGTTCTTTTATCTCGCATTTAATCTAAGTTGTCACAATTTCATTACATGAAGCTAATATAAAATGTTCATTGACTAAGGCATTCTCTTCTTTCCCTCCGCAGAAATCTTGGGGCCTTGACAGAAATTACTAAGAATGGTAACAAGGCTGGCTTCACTCAACAGACACAGCAAACTGTTCGTCAACTCCAGACACCTCAACAAAACCCTCTCCTACAAGCTCAACAAGCAAGTATTTTCACTTTAATGTTTTTAGCTCTTTATGATGTTTGCTTGCTGCTTTTTGAAATTTAGTTGGCATTTGTTCCATTCGGTTAACAATTTGCATGTTTTCTTGTAATACAATATGTCAAATACTTGCTGTTTAAGAACTTCATTTAACTTAGGGTGCCCCTTTATAGAATTTAAGTTTGCTTTACTCCATATTGGTGGTGATGATTGATAGCTAACCTCTTGGGAGACTGTGGTGCTTATATTGCTTGAAATGCAAATAGAAAAAGAATACTTCAAATGGATGTTGATGAATAGTGAGGAAGAAAGAGTTAGAGAGGATACATAGATAGTGGTTTTCTAGGAAAAATGCACTAGCAACTCAATCAAATATTATCTTTTTGAAGGCAAAACTTGGGTAGTGTAGCACCTAATTTTCCACACTCTCACCAAGAAAATAGACATTATCGGCAGGAAGCAACCAAACTCTAAAGAAGTTTCCGGCTGACCAAAGAATCCAATTTCCATCGGTTAAGTTAACATGGGCCATTTATATTCTCCAGCTCTGATCGGAATGTTCACTGGCATTCAGACAAAAACCAACTACCAACACTGTAAATTTCAACTATATCATCACATTCCCCTAAATAAGGATATCCGACTTGCATTGTCCTTGAAATCTATAAGTTGCTTGGCTACCATGATAAGATTCGAATGATCCTACGTTACCTTAAGTCACTCTTATCACGTTTGTGTCGGTCATCACTTGATATGTGGTGGCCAGTCATACGGAGGCAACTACGTGCCCAAAGCCTATGATTATGTCCTAACATCTTGGTTCACAATATTTATAGTTCAATCCATTCAGAGTCAGTTCGTAGCCTCCACCTGGAACACTCTTGTTGCTAGTAGAGATGATTCCATAACCATCAGCTTTCTGGTCCACCACATTCCAAGTGGCTGATTGAAGTAACTATTTTTTACCTAGACGTTGCTAGCAGAAGAGACTTTTATGACTTGAGCTTTTGAACATTTATAAAATCTTTGAGATTATGAACTTAGTTAAAGGACAGTAAGAGGGCGAGATTAAGTGCTTGTCATTTCTTCTCCTTCCTCTATAGTTAGACATTTTCACTCCCATATAATGGAAGCAAGCTTTCACGGCCGAAGTACCGAACTACTTAAATATAATCTCCCTTTGTTATAGTTTTATATTTGTTCTCTTTTACTAATATTTTTATTGTAGTAAACTCTCCTCAGTGAATGAAACCAACTTAAAAAGATCCAGTATGGAACTCCATTGAAGCGACAAGAATTTCTTTGTATATTGCAACTCGTTCATAGGTAGTATGTAATTTCTTAGGGCCTTCTTGTGTGTATGAGAGAAGTTGGAAGTAGTTTTTCCTGAGCTAGATTGTTTTGCTTAATCAAATTACTTATAATTTTTTATAAGAGTTTATTTAGATTTAGGGTTATACTTCCTATGAGTGCAAGCCCTTATAACTAATTGCCTCTCTTGATTTTGGGCGTTCACTCTCGATTACGGAGATTGTTTAGGCTTAAGCATTAGCCTATATTTGATTAGACTTTGGAAATGATTAGATGGGTGGAGGTATGCTCATTCAATCACCTACGGTTCTACCATCTTGGATATACTAGCAAACCTAGTCAGCCAACAATAGTTTACTATGAGGTGTAATATCCAAGGAGTCTGATTAACAACATGGGCTTTCTTTTCTCATATTATCAAGTTGATTGAGGTAGACGTGTGTAGATGACATGTTTTTGAGATTAACTCATTTACATAGACTTGCTCACATACAGAGGGTTTGCTATACCATGTTTATTAAATGATTCAATAATGCGTAACATGGTCACATGTGATTTAAAGGTGTTAGACATGATTAATAAGGATTCATAAGCATGACGTGGTTGGTGGGCTTGGTAGCATGATTGCTAGCCGTAATTCCTTTGACACTTGTGGTTAGTTGGTGGGTTTGCTAGCATGGATGCTAGCCCTTAACCAATATTTTTCTGTTGAGCGTATTAGCATGGGAACTAGCCCAAGCTATTATTTAGTTTCATATTATTGTTGTTGTTATGAACTTAGCTAAGGTTTAGGTATTACATACCAAGGAAAGCTCACAAATTTCCACAAGTTTTGTGCTGGCTTGAGTTACTTGCATTGAGGCTTACATTCAAAGAAAGGCTCAAAAGTGGAATTTATCTCTTTGAGTACCAAGAAGGCCCAATAGTAATGTTTTGATTTAATGGTCTTGTTGGTACGCCCAGGATGATGAAACCATAGACTCTTATTTTGTCTGCCTTAATCTCCTAGCCATCCAGGGAATTTGGATAGATACTAATTTACCTCATGGAAAATGAACTCGTGAGTGCAAAGTAGTGTTAGTGTTTTCCCTAGCAATCAATCTAATGCATTTGCATGACAAACATATTTGTGATGACTCAACAAATTTTGTGAGAAACACAAATTTTATGCTTTGGATGGATTAAAGAATAACAAATACTAAATTTGTAGCCTTACCGATTTAACAATCATTTACATTTTACACTTGACATAAACACCAATAAAAAAAATTTTGAGCTATTTTTTATTGGTATTATTTTATTCTATACATTTTAATTAATTTTGGGTAGTTTTGATGTGCTTAGGGGTGTAAACAAATCAAGTTGAGTCAAGTATCTACCTTATCAAGACATGCTTGTGTAAGCCTTAATTAGCTCGAGATCGACTTGTTTAGAAAATATCAAGTTCGAGCTCGGCTAGGAAGCTCGGGCTCACTTGGAAAGCTCAAGCTTGACTCGTTTAATTTGCTCAATTCTTTAATTGTAAACCAAAATTTTCATTTTTTTAGAACTTTTATTTCTAACACTTAATCAAAATTTGTTTTCAATTATGATATAAAACTTAAATAGGCATAAAATGTACACAACTTTAACATTTAATTTCTTTAAAAGAAAATTAAGTTGTAGAAAAAATTAATATATACTGAGCAATCATCTTTCTTTAATTTTTTTTTTTAACTTGATCAATATCAAGTGCAATTTTTATGCAGTTAAATACAATAACAATTTGATCAATATCAAAATAGAGCATTTATATCAATGTTAAACCAAATTGTATATCATCACGTCATTAAAAAAAGTAATTGGAATTATACAACCCATTAAAAAGTTTCATGATAGAGCAAAAATAAAAACTCAACAAAGGATAGAACTATTCATTTCTTGTCTTTTTGATATTCCATATTCTTCCGCTCTTCCATATTTAGTACTAATTAATGTGAACCTGAAAATTAAGATAAAAGATAAAAAATAAATATTTCTCAATGAATTGCAATACATTAAAAAGAGAAAAAGTTAAAATCATTTTTTGCTAGCATGAAGCAACAAAATTCTTGCTACATCTAAATGTAAGAGAAAGTATGCTATAGGATAAAATCGGCAAAGATAAATATGTAACCACCAGTGTTAGCATTAAATATGTTCCAATTGTTTACCTGTACTTTTGTACTACTCTTGTATAAGAAGGCTAGAAGATATAACATTATCAACAACATAATGTTAATTGAAAATAGCTGATTAGAACTACAGGTCAAAGAGTAAATAAAAGAATTTAGAAAATAAAAAAGAAAAGGGAATATGTTTCAACATCTAAGTGGTCAAAGCATTGATTACAACAACAACAACAACATCAAGCCTTTATCCCACTACGTGGGGTCGGCTACATGAATCCTTTTCTCCATTGTGTCATATTAAAAGTCAAATTCTCGTTTAAATCTAATAAAGAAAGGCCATTCATAATATTTTCTAACCAAGTCTTTTTAGGTCTACCCCTACCTTTCTTAACACAAGTCAAATCTAATACCTCTACTCTCCTAACCGGATCATCGGAAGGCCGCCTTTTTATGTGACCAAACCATCTAAGGCGACTCTATCTAATCTTATCTTCTACTGGAGCTACTCCAACCTTTTCACGTATATGCTCATTTCGTATCCTATCTCTAAGGGTAAAGCCACTCATCCACCTGAGCATCCGCATCTCTGCCACACTTAACTTAGTATTATGCTTCTCTTTTAATGGCCAACATTCGGCACCATAAAGCATTGCAGGCCTCACTACCATCTTATAGAATTTTCCCTTAAGTTTGAGGGGTACATTTCTATCACATAGCAAGCCCGATGCATTCCTCCATTGCAGGTCAAAGCATTGATTAGAAAATAAAATTCATAGAAAACAAAGTAGTATGCAAATACAGTGATATTATGATATACGATTCATCATAATGTAAAAAAAAAGCTTCTTAGAAGATGTAGATTTATCATTCAGCAGGCTTTGATAACTATAAGAAAACAAATGGGATGGATCATGAGGGCCTGCAAGTGATGCCAGCCATGTATCAACAAAGATGATTGATAAGATGTTAGCAAAAGAGACCAATTGTATCATATGAGAGAAACAACTAATTAGCAAACAAAGAACAGAAAAATCAACATGATCTCAAAACAACTGTTTAGAACTAGAAGAGGCTAGACAATTCACTGTTTCAAGGAAAATAACAAATTGGTTATGATATATTTACCTCAAGTCTTCTTCCTACAAAATAAAGGACAATTTCAAATTTATATGTTGATGTTTGATATTCAAATATATGAGTTCAATGACAAAAAATGAAATTTTATATGTTGATGTTTGATATTCAAATATATGAGTTCAATGACAAAAAATAAAATTGGTTATGATATATTTACCTCAAGTCTTCCCTTCAGCCCATAATGACATTTAACCCAACCAGATTCACAAATGAGTGCTTGAATTGTTTCAACACCAAGCTTGGAGCAATATGTGTCAACAACTATTTTACCTGCACTGAACGTCGACTGAAGCGATTGTACGGATCAAAATGGAATCAACTTCCATTCTTGATAGTATGCAATATTTTTCTTGGTTGCTTTGAAACCAAGATTTGACATCAAATGATTGATTTCCATTTTCTATTTCTCAGCCATCCTCCAGATATTTGTCTAGATCTGAGTTTACTAGCCTTGTACTTGATTTTGCTGTAAAGTTATACTTCTTAGACTTCTTGCTTGAACTTATGCATATACTTGAATTTCTTGTGACCCATTTGGAAGCTTCAATATCTGAATCAGACTGCTCTTCATATAACTTGTATAATAAATTTCGTACAAGTGAAATGTTTCTAAAGCTTTCTTCATCAAAGTATATCATCGAATAAGCAAACTCTATAACAACAAATTTCATCCGTGGATTCATTATAGCTCCAAAGGCCATCAAAAGGTTGCATTCTCCCCAATATTTATCAAATTTTTCTTTCATTTTGTTTTTGTCATTTCCACTATGAAAGCATTACTAGAAATAGCGCATTCGTCCAATACTTTCTTTATGCTACAAATTTGAGACAAGCATAAATTAGCAGTGGGAATTCTGTTCTTGAAATAATGTTAGTAGCTTCATTAAAAAAGCCTAAAACATTACAGACTTTCTCATTGTTCTCCCATTCCTCTTTTATTGGGTAGCTCATATATGCAATTCCCTTTCACTGTAAGAGAAAAAAGCTTCTATTAATAGCAATGCAACAGTAAGCATGGAATACGTTGAGTTCCAATGAGTGGGACAATCTATGACAAGCTTTCTTGTGGGAAGTTGAAGTTGTTGTACTATTTTAGAAAATGATAACAATCTGGCCTCAGAGGCATTAAGAAACCTGACTGTATATCTGATTTTATCAAAAAACAAATTGAATACTTTTGTTACCATCCTTCACCATCAAGTTCAAAATGTGGGCATAACAGCGCATATGAAAAAGCCTACCTCCAAAGAATAGTTTCTTTTTCACTCTGAAGCTATCTTTGAGTAGCTTAATAGCTCTATCATTGTTAGCTGAGTTGTCAACATATATAGTGAAAACTTTATTTTCAAGTCTCCAATCAAAAAGAGCTTTGTAGAACGTACCAACAATCTCAGAAACAAAGCTATTAAGAACAATCACTTTCTAAATTACAATCAACATAATGTGAGGTGTAAAGTGCAAAAAACTAAGAATATGTTTCTGCAATCTCGAATTACAATCAACATAATGTGGTGTTACAACCATATAAGATACTCTCTGATTTTTAGACTTTCACAAATCAATAGTAAAACTCATTTTACTAATACTCTTGAGAGAATTTTTAAATTTCTTCTTTTCATTGTCATACACCATCATTACATCTTTTTTTGGATGGCCCTTGAATATTTCCTAAAAAAAGTTTTCAATGACTTCAAGACTAAATTGAATCCAAACTCATCCACAATTGAAAAGGGTTTCTCATTGATTAATATGTAGCGAGCAATCATCTCTTTGACTTTGTCATGCTTAACAACCCTCCATCTTGTTTTGGTTGGGCACAAGAACAATCACTTTCTCTAGGTTGGAAATGTAATAATTTCTATTTTTTTCAAGGCACGAATCCTAGCAGCGCAACGATCTAAATAATTCCTAAATTGAGTTGTTCCACTGATACTTCCTAAATAAAGTTTTTTTTTTTTTAATAGTGGTTGCATTCTTCTTTTCTTTGACCATCGGGTAGAATAACCTCCTTGAACTCATCCCAAACTTTTGATGTCTTCTTCCTCTTCTTTCTTTCTATAACATTTTCAGTATCATTGTCCTCATCAACGTTTTTGTCATCATTGTCTTGATTTTTAGTAGTCCATCTTTCAACCTTATCATCAATTTCAATGTTATCATTAATTGTGTCATTCTCATTCATTGGTTCACTACCAACATAAGATTGATGTTGATCATCAAGTCTTTCAATTTCAACTTGTAAGGGCTCACAATTATCTGCTTCTATGCTTACAGGTGTTGACATGCTATGTAAAGATTTCAAATAAAAGAAGGGATAAGATATTCAAATAAAAGAAGAGAAGATATTACAGGCGTTGACATGCTATTCAAAGATTTCTAATAAAAAGCGTCGTATATTAAAATTAACTAAATATAAAATTTTGAGAAGTCACTGAATTTATCATTATTTTATTAGGTTCATAAACTACCAAAGTTATTTTGGGTTCACCTACGGTCAGGCTATTTTGAATTAATACATTATGTTTTGAATTCTCTCATATTTTCATCATTTTTATACAAAACTATAGATAAGAAAAACATTTGAGAGAAGCTCATTGCACAGGTTTTATAATGAAGAGTAGGTGATTTGAAAAGACAATTTCTAAGCTTGATATTAAAAATTACTATGACGAAAAGATGGAATTTTCTTGGATTTATCCTTTATTGCTTTGCGTTTTATACCAAAGTTAATTGTTGACCCTCAATTTGCATACTACAACTGCTATTTTTATCATGATTAATGAAGTTCTGCCTCCAAGATCTGAAGAAATTTTTATGCTACAAGAACTTGTTATGATTAATGAAGTTCTGCCTAAACCCTAAAGCAATAAAAGGGCAGTTGAAGCTTGTAAATGCAAAAGCAATGAAAAAAAAAAAAACTGAAGATCATAAAAGTGAAGATAACTACTACACTAGTTAAAAATAATGAAAGCACATTTACATAAAGAGGGAAATATAGAGAATAGAGAAAATAGGAAGCGAAAAAAATTGCAAGATTTTTTGAGTCCATGAAAGATTATCTTAGATCTGACGAGGAACTACTGGTGAAGGTTGGAGAAGAAGAATAATAGCCGGAAATCGCAGTCGTCTGAAATGCCTACAAGGGAAGGAAACCTAACGCACGAATCACACGAAAGAGAACAGCCGAAGTCGCAATCGGCCACTGCTCTTCAAATGAAAGCCGAATATGAAGTGAAAGACGAAGCTGCAAACTACGTTTGAGAAGCCGAAGATGGTAGGTTTTGTGAAATGAGTTAGGGCATGATGTAGCTAGGTTTTTTTTTTTACTTTATATTGTATAATATAAGTTAATACTTGAAAATAATATAATATAATATAATTTTGTAGCTCAATAAGCTTTTGAGTCGAGTCTGTTTGGACTCGAACTCGAGCTTGTTTAATATACGAGCTCGAGCTCGAACTACATGCTCAATAAGCTCAACTCGCGAGCACGTTAATGAGTCGAGTTCGAGTCGTCTCACGAGCCGGCTTGGCTCACTTACACCCCTAGATGTGCTTATAATGAACACCTAGGTGAACTTCTTGTTGTCTTATACCTTAGTGCTTGGTTATTTACGATGTTGTGAAAATCGGACCAGACAACAAACCGAAATGAGAAGTTCACGGTTCGATGGTTCAACAGGGTTGAATCGAGGTTGAACCAGATGATCTAATAAATACTAAAATGATTCAAATATAATTTAAATTATAGAATAATTAAAGTTTTAGTAAAGAATACATAAGCACTTTGATTAAAGCTAATGAACAAGCTCGATTGATCATTAGTGTCAGTATATGTATATTACAAATATAATTTTATGTATAATAAATGTCTTAAAATTAAAAAAGTTTAATAATATAAATGTATAAATATAAATATAATTTTTAATAAAAATAATAATATAATATATAAATTTTATTATATAAAAGAACTTATGTTCTTAACTTTAATAAATTATACATATTCTCACCCAAATTTGCATCCTAAACAATTTGATAGTTTAAATTATGCAAAATTCTCACAGTTTTTTAACCCCACGTCATGCAAAAATTTTAAGTGGTTCTCTTTATATAGTGTAAAGCACAAACCACAAGCTTCAAATAATGTTGCATGATATGGCTACTGGCAAGTTAGCAATTTTATATTCTAGTTAAATTTATTTGCATAAATAAGCATATGCATTTAAATATATATTTAAAATTAAAAAAATAGAATTTTAATATTAAAAAAACATTTAAATAAAAATAAGATTTATTGAACCGGTTGGTTCAACCAAACCAGAACCGATTCGACGGTTTACTAGTTGATTTGACGGTTCAAACCAATTCGCAGCGATTCAATGCAAATTCAATTTTCCTACTTGACCGGGCCATCAACTGAACCTGTTGACGATCGAATTAGTCGAACCGGTCGGTTCAGTCCGGTTTTAGAAAGACTGGTTATTTATATGGTTTGGCTTAGTATCAATTTAGCTTATTTGGCAGCCGATTCAAGACTCATAATGGAGTGTACTGTTTTTTGAATAGCCAAATATAATAAGGCTTAGCTAAGTTTCAGGATATAGACTTTCATTGTGGATGATTCGGGTTCCACACGTGTGGCATGTGGCAGTACATAAAAAAAATTCCTATTTAGTTGGTGGTGATCTTATGTCTCGCGTGCATCGGCTACAACTTGTTGTTTATTAGGTACGGTTTGGTATGGGTTCATGTGCAGTAGCTTTAAGTAATTTTGATGTTTTCGTCTTCAATCTTTGTATTTATTTGGATAATTGAAATTTGAATTTTGAATTCACTGAACCAAATAAAACCTAATTTTAATGTCAATCATATATGCTTAAGGATACAAATCTATATGTAGCTATATAATTGAGGTATTTAATTTTATTTTGTTTTGGATCTAATAATTTTCAGAATTATATTTTTCAATCTTATGTTTGCCTATTTGATATGGTAAGTGCGTTATAAGTATATGACAACTTTCCTTGGTGTTTTTTTTTCCTTAATCTACTTTATTCACTAATATTTTTTTTATTGGTTTTTATCAAATTCAATATAACTAGATTTAATCATCATGACTATTATAATAATGCTCCTAAATTTGTATTATGCCACCTCCAGCTTCAAAGGCAAATGCATTCCCAAATGAATATGCTTCACCCACAAAATATAGCATTTCAACAACAACAACAACAACAACAACAATGGGATAAATTGAGGCGTCAGCAAGTATCCACGCCTCGTTCCATGATGATTATGGACAAAGATCAGCCTATGGCAGATGTCAAAATTGAGAACATAATGGAAGGACCTATCGATACAAACACTTTCAATGCTCTCAGTAAACAACAGATGCAATTGAGGCAACAGCAGATGGCTATGGCAAATCACCCTACACAATCTGGACAACATTTCAAACAACTTCAGTCCATTCAGATTCCTCAACTTCAAGCACAGTTGGCTCAGTAAGTCTTATCATGATTCAAACAGATGACTAAACACTAAGGGCCTTTTTTAATTAAAAAATAGAGAAAATGAGAAATAAAATAGATATAGAAATGAAGTTGAATTGAAATTAGATGGTCACATATTTGTTTGGTTGAGGAGAACTCAATTGATTTTTATTTTGACCTTGTTTAATTCATGAAAAATTGAGCTTTGGATTCTTGTAGAATGAAAAATACATTTATTTATTATTCCTTAGGTAAATCAAATTACATATTAATCACTTTGAGAACAAATAATCACTATGAAGTAAAATGCGTTTACCCTCTATCTAACTTCTTCAAAGTTCAAACCAAATATACGGGTATATTTTGTTTGAAGGTATTGGGAATGAAAATTTGTTTTACTTCACAATTTAATCAGTAGTGGTTGGTTTCATTATAATTAATTGATGATTAAATGTATCTACATGGAATGAAGAAATACATTTTTTTGTCCTCGAATTGACAGTTTTCTACTGAGTTCTGGTGAAAAAAAAAAGTGAATGTTTTATTATTTCATTATAATTTAATTTCTCATCAACCAGTAAAAAATATTTTTTACTCAGATTTCTGTTCGACCAAACAATTGATTGAAACATAATCTCAATTCAATTCCTTTATCAGTTGCATTTAATTTCTTTTTTTCCTCATATTTTTTTCTTTTTTTTCCTTCAAACCAAACTGAATCCAAATAGTTTGTGTTTTTTTTTGTAATGATTTAACACTTGCAAGACCATTTCATTGGTGTAGGAATGCATTTAATATGAGAACTGCTCCAGTTAAAGTAGAAGCTTTCCATGAACTGATGGGTGGGGATTCAACACTGAAGCAAGAACCAGATCAGAATAAACTCACCTCTCCAGCAAAGTAAGGTGGTTGAAGCATGATTTATTAGTCAGCAGAATCAATACTTTCTTTTATGTAAATTATGCATTCAGGTAAGCAATTGTATTGAATTAATATAAATACAATGAAAGATAAAATATTATGCATTATACTGCTTAATTCTATTCTTTTATCCAATTATTTTAGCTAAGCTTTTGAATGATTTTTTTGAAATATAATACGATGGCCTTCGGATGACCTAGGTGGGAGAGTAGATGTATTAGATTTTGTTTATGTTAAAAATGGAGAAAAAAGATTCATTTAGCCGACCCCATGTAGTGGGATAAAGACTTGTTGTTGTAGTTGTTGAATATTTTTCTAGATTTATGTATGAGGACTATGCAATTTGATATTTTAAAGCTGAATTTGATGTATATTATAAATTTCTTTTTCTTACAAAATTTGCTATGAATAATTACAAATATGTTTGCCACGCAATTGCAGTAGATAGATTACTAGGAAAAACGCTTGACACTATTTTGCACCAAGGAGTTCATTTTTCATCAGATAAATTAGATTTTATCTAACCAAAGTCTCCTAATGGCTAGGTGATTAAGGTAGACACGATGAAGAGTCTATTGTTTCATCACCCTGGTCGTATCAACAAGGCCAAGTCCACCAACATCAGAGGGCAATAAGCCACAATATGTAAGAAATCTAACTAACATCTCATTTATCTCAAAAAAATATGGTGACTGAATGTGAGTTTTGGCTGCTTTTATTTTAATAGATGAGGATCCTTAGGTGAATGAGTGTCATTTATTCTTAGAGACAATGCGAAACTAGTATATTCGTGAAAAAGGTTGGAGTAGCTTTAATGCTTGATAAGATTAGATAGAGTCAATTGTCTTAAATGATTTGGCCACATAAACTGTCGGTCTTTTGATGATCTCAAGATCCCTATTTTTCAGTCAGCCTTATCTTTGGCAAATGCATTCAACGGTATGAAAAACATTAATGTCCATCCCTACAACTATATGAGGTAAGCAATCGCTCATCAATCAAGCGAAAATCTCAAATCCCTGGCATTATTAGGTGTTTATGCTATCATGATTTGAGATCGGTGATGGATAAGGCGCTACTTGTAGGGGATTGCAGTTTATTAATTTATGATATGTTGTCGCTTTAAGTTGCTGTGAATGACGCGGCGCATGGAAAATTTTGGACGTGATGATTTACGAGTATAAGGACGATGAGTTCGGTGACACGGAGACGATCTGCTTTGTTTTTCTTCCTATTCTAGAGGGTCAATTCCAGAGACGATATGAGATCTAGATTTGCTTGGAGAGCGGTGAGTATTTTTGTTTGGTGATTTTCTCTTAGTTTATTGAAGAATGTTTTGCCAATTGTTGGAGAAGGCGAAGGCCGTAGTTCGATTACCAATTCGAATCCCGCTTATCAATCAAATTTGAGTGGTAATTCAAATGTTATATTGAAACCAATCAAATGAGGTTTTTCCTATGTCATCCAAGGAGCCGGAGCAACTAATGAAGATGGACCATGATGCGATCTAGATGGAAGAGGGGGAAAATCGGAATATTCTCCAGCCATCATCCCCAGGAAGAAGGGGCAAAAGCCCCCCGAACGAAAAACCCTAAGGGCTGCGAGAAGGGGTTTTGAGGAGACAAAAACCTAACGCGCAGCGAATGTCCGAATATTTAAATCCTCACAATCTCGAAGGCATCAATTCAATGAACGTTTCTGTGTTTGTTATATATTGATAAAGATGGATTCCATGCCAAATAAAACACGACTTTCCATAAAACATAATTCTCATTATAACTAAACTTGACTCCGAGACTAGATCGACTTTAATAGGGATCTTGAGGTCAGTCGGATTCCCTGTATTTGGACCCCATCGGGTATCTCGAAAGTTGCGAGTTATATAGGAAAACCACTTACGGTTGATTCTCTTACTGCTAAAAGAACTCGTCTAAATTTTGCCAGGATTTGTGTTTTGATTTCTAAAGATTCTAAACTTCCGGAAGAAATTCCGATTGATATTGATGGAGAGGATTTTATCCTAAATGTGGTTTATGACTGGAAATCGATTCCTTGTGAATTGTGTCCATTCTACTAACATTTGCCCTTCTAATCCCAAGCAAAAACAAACCTTGAATACGAGTAACTTACCTTCTCTAAGAGGTAGGAGTACTAGTAGACATCCCCGTTACCGACCCCGCACGATTTCTAAGCTTCCTCCTTTACTTCTGACACCTGCTTCTGAAGACCCTAATTCCAAAACCGCTTCTCCTTCTAACCTCGAACCTCCCAGTCAGTAGGAAAATACTGGAGATCTGTTACAACTCCCTCCTCAAAATTCTAAAGCCATTGTGGAAAAGGATCTCAGTATCCCCAATCTTAATTTTCCCATAGAAGATCTATCCTCCTATGAACCTAGTCTCAATATTAATACTCAATTGGCTATGAATATTCCTATAACCAATAAATTCAATATTTTGAATTGCGAAGTTTTATCTGAGCCACATCAAGATTCTGATACGGAAGACGTTTCCTCTCAGAGAACTGGTTTATCTCATACTAATCCTCGAGTAAAAATCCCTCACCGTTATAGATTTCTTCTAATGTGATTAAACCTCCTCCTTCCCCTGCTAAAAAACCCAATAAAGCCAAAACTGCCAAAAAGGCAAAACCTTCCTCATAAAAATCCAAATGATTCCTCCTCCTATTGCTTGTTGGAATGTGAGAGGTTTTAATAGGCTGGATAAAATCCTTGCCTGTAAAAATCTCATTAACATTACAAGTTGAAAATGTTTTGTGTTATTGAAGCTAAAATTCAGCAATCCTCACTCGATGATTCTTGGTTTGTTAATTCTCACAAGCTTTTTGAGAATGAAGGTAACTGTCACAATTTTGTTGTCTCCTCTCCGGGCAGAATTTGGGTTAAATGGGATTTAATCCCATTGTTACTTCTTCCCAGTTTATTAACGAAAAGATTTCCTTAGATTCTTCTACTTCCTTTTTTTATTACTATTATCTATGCAGCTAATTCTCCGGATGACAAGAAATCTCTTTGGAACAATATTAGAGAGCTGACCAATAATATTTCCCAACCTTGGATTTTAGTTGGGGATTTTAATTGTTGTAGATATGACCAGGAGAAGCTGGGGGGCTCCTCCTCCAATCCTAGTTGGCTTGGGGACTTTAATAATAGTATTTTTGATTGGTGAATCCCTTCGCTATTGCAACACAACAACATTCAAGATATCGGTCGTGCTACTGTCCCATTATGCCCTATATATAAAATGATACGTCTCTCTCTCTCTCTCTCTCTCTCTCTCTCTCCAATTTTTATAGAGAGAGAGAGTAAAAATAAATATTTATAATAATCTTAAGTTTATTTTTCGATGATGTATGAATAATATAATTTGTTTATTTTGATATAAATGATTTAAAAATAAATATTTATAATAATCTTGATATATAATATATAAAACCTAAACTTATAATATTTATGATAGTAATAGCATCAAGATATAAAAATTGCTTTGGATTCTAACTATAGCAATACCTTCATATTTTTTTCTCTTTTAATGATATATTTTCTTCATTTACATTAATTAGAATTATTGCCTATATTTATGTAATTATATTTATAAATGGTTTCGTTTAGTTGTGATTTTATTTTGGCCGCTCGGATTCGCTATCTTTTGGGGCTATAGTTTAAAGGAGGTGGCCTATATTTAGACATCTAAGAGACTCATTAATTATTAGATAAATATAGGCAATAATTTTAATTTAGGGTTTAGGGTTTAGGGAAATAATTATAATTTTCGATGATGTATGAATAAAAGTTTATGATCCATCTTCATGAGTTGCTCTGGCTCCTTGGACGAATAACTTTTCATCGGCTCCAGTAACTCAAGCTGAGGTTTTTCCTGTGTCGTTTATCCCTCCGGATCATAAACTTTTATTTAAAGTAGATGATCTCTCGTAAGGTATTTCTCTCTGGAACTTGTCTCTTATCGGTTACTCTACAAGTCAGAGACCTTATTACGAGAGGTTGCTTACAGCCATGAAAAAACTGTGGAATCTTAAGGGTATCTCTCGCTTCTCTCGATATCTGATGGTTTTTTGTTACTGAAATTCAATAATATTGATTATTACAATATGGTTTGGTTTGGAGGTCCCTCGCTTCTCCTTGGTAAACCATTTGTTCTTCAACAATGGTCTCCAAAATTCAAACCAAAGAGGGATGAATCTGCTTCCATCTTGATTTGGGTAAAAAATTTTAGATGTACCGCTTGCTCTTTGGACCTCATCGGGTCTCTCAAAAATTGCGAGTTATATAGGAAAACTGATTGCGGTTGATTCTCTTACTGCTCAAAGAACTCGTCTAAATTTTGCCATGATTTGTGTTTTGATTTCTAAATATTCTGAACTTCCGGAAGAAATTCCATTTGATATTGATGGAGAGGATTTTACTCTAAATGTGGTTTATCACTGGAAACTGATTCCTTGTTAATCTTGCAGATCTCTTAACTATTCTTCTAACATTTGCCCTTCTAATCCCAAGCAAAAAACAAACCTTGAATACGAGTAACTTACCTTCTCTAAGAGGTAGGAGTACTAGTAGACATCCTCGTTACCAACCCCGCACGGTCTCTAAGCTTCCTCCTTTAGTTTCGACACCTGCTTCTGAAGACCCTAATTCCAAACCCGCTTCTCCTTCTAACCTCGAACCTCCCAGTCAGTAGGAAAATACTAGAGATATGTTACAACCCCCTCCTCAAAATGCTAAAGCCATTGTGGAAAAGGATCTCAGTATCCCCAATCTTAATTTTCCCACAGAAGATTTATCCTCCTATGAACCTAGTCTCAATATTAATACTCAATTGGCTCCGTATATTCCTATAACCAATAAATTCAATATTTTGAATTGCGAAGTTCTATCTGAGCCACATCAAGATTCTGATACGGAAGACGTTTCCTCTCAGAGAACTGGTTTATCTCGTACTAAACCTCTAGAAAAATCCCTCACCGTTACATATTTCTTCTAATGTGATTAAACCTCCTCCTTCCCCTGCTGAAAAATTCAATAAAGTCAAAACTGCCAAAAAGGCAAAACCTTCCTCATCAAAATCCAAATGATTCCTCCTCCTATTGCTTGTTGGAATGTGAGAGGTTTTACAGGCTGGATAAAATCCTTGCATGTAAAAATCTTATTAACAGTTACAAGTTGAAAATGTTTTGTGTTATTGAAGCTAAAATTCAACAATTCTCACTTGATTCCTGGTTTGTTAATTCTCACAAGCTTTTTGAGAATGAAGGTAACTGTCACAATTTTGATGTCTCCTCTTCGGGTAGAATTTGGGTTAAATGGGATTTAATCCCGTTGTTACTTCTTTCCAGCTTATTAACGGAAAGATTTCCTTAGATTCTTTTACTTCCTTTTTTATTACTGTTATCTATGCGGCTAATTCTCCGGATGACAAGAAATATCTTTGGAACAATATTAGAGAGCTGGCCAATAATATTTCCCAACCATGAATTTTTGTTGGGGATTTTAATTTTATAGATATGACCAGGAGAAGTTGGAGGGCTCCTCCTCTAATCCTAGTTGGCTTGGGGACTTTAATAATACTATTTTTGATTGGGAATCCCTTCGCTATTGCAACACAACAACA